ATTTAGAAAGTTGCCAAGCTTGAAGAACACTGCTAAAAGATTAAATGTAGTGAGACACTTAACCTGCTGACTGTTTTCTTCTGGACATTTTTACATGCATATTAACTGAGAGCCACCTTGCTCTAATAAATTACCCATCCTGAATAATGGTATGGCTGCTTAGAACTTGGCGCAAATAGAGCTAGCCACAGCAAAGCAATTTAAAGCCTCTGCAATCTTTGCTGGGCACCTACTTATTTACAATTAAGATAACTTTGCTAAAGCTTAGGAAAAGCTTTAAATGCTGTGTCAGAGGATATTACAGTTTTCAACTGGGATCGCAGCAGAGGAAGAGCGGTTTTTTGAAATCCTACTCAAACACCACACAGTGTACTTGCATTCTTCCCCAGTTGCCTTTACTTTTAGGAACCCAGCTGTGTGATTGCTAATCTTAATATTAGCATCACGATAAAATCATTCCCATATTTACCATATGGTACCTTTTATATATACAGTAAAGTAATGGTATTAATATTAAAATGTGTGTATATGGGAGAACACCAGAGTTGCTTCTGCTTCCTGGCCTTATTGGTGCTCTTTAAGCTTGTTGTTTTCCTGCAGATGTTACTTTACCCAAATGAATTTGGATAATGAATGAACGAATTACCCAAATGAAACATCTGCAAGAAAACAACCAAGCTCAGCACCAAAGACCCTACGGTTCAACCCTGAGCTAGAAATGCTTTTTTTGTATCTGTTCTTGGCCTTAGTTTGCTAAACCAATTGCTTTAAGCTATTTCCTCTAATATAGCTCAGATATCGGTTCCTTTTGATCTACAGACAGCCTTGTTCATTTTCATCACTGTGTAGTTCTCTTTCTTCCCCCCATAAAGGAAGTTTCACCCCTAAACTGATTTTTACCAGTTCAGCATTAAACTAAAAATCTGAATAGGCCAATTTCGTAGAAAGTTGAAACACACTCATGTTCCACAGATGGGTCAATGGGTTCTCTAAGATCCTTGCTAACTGCCCTTGGCAGGATGGCTTTCATAACTAATTAACAGCTAGTCTACTTAGAATCAGACTAATGAGATTTCTTCCAAAGTTTTCGAGCATGTTAGCACTCCAATTAAGTTAACTGGAGGCATATCTTCAGAAGCATTAATATGCAGTTAGTTTACTGTACTCTGAGCCAAATTCTCTGCCCCTAGTTTTGGCTTTCCTTGATTTTTGTCACAGAGACTACCACTGCAAAATACTTTCAGATTTGCTGACTTGATAATTTAAATGCAAAAATATGTCTTGTGGACCTTGAATGAGTGTTGGTTACACGTAACAAAATTTCTCCTGCTGTTTACTTGGCAATAGATTGTTGTAGAATTGTTTAGCTTAATTGAACTAGATTTTCTAATGATAAGACTTGATTATTTGCTTCCCACCCCCCTATTGTAAATGTTGATACTCTGTGCTTACTCATAAGCTTTCAGAAATATATGAGTGTTTCAAATCATTCTGCCTTCAATACAGAATATTTGACTTATATACAGTATAAGTAGTTTTGTTCAGGGGTAGAAAGTTGAAAAAGAAAGATAAATTGATTTATAATTTCAGTCACTAAAACCACCCACTTGCACAACAACTAGGAATTTCTCTTGGATTTTGCCATTTTTAGCAATATATTAAAGACATTGAAATCTGTTTTATGTCAGGTCGTATTTAAATAATAATAATAATAATAATAATAATAATAATAATAATAATAATAATAATAATAATAATAATAATAATAATAATAATAAAGTTGGAAGGTACCTTGGAGGTCATCTAGTCCAACCCCCTGCTCAGGCAGGAAACCCTAGACCATTTCAGATAAATGGCTGTCCAGTCTCTTCTTAAAAACTTCCAGTGTTGGAGCATTCACCACTTCTAGAGGCAGATTGTTCCACTGATTAATTGTTCTCACTGTCAGGAAATTTCTCTTTAGTTCTAGGTTGCTTCTCTCTTTGGTTAGTTTCCTTCCGTTGCTTCTTGTTCTGCCTTCAGGTGCTTTGGAGAATAGCTTGACCCTGTCTTCTTTCTGGCAGCCCGAGATATTGGAAGGCTGCTATCATGTCACCCCTCGTCCTTCTCTTCATTAGACTAAACATTCCCGATTCCAGCAACCATTCATTAGTACTCAATACTTCCTGATCATTTTTAAAAAGCATATGAAGAAATGTTGTAGGAATTGGTATGGCTGATCTAGAGAAAAGAAGGACTAGGGATGACATGATAGCAGTATTCCAGTATTTGAGGGCTGCCAAAAAGAAGATTATTTCCAAAGCCCCAGAGAGCAAGACAAGAAATAATGGAAACTAATCAAAGGAGAGAAGCAACCTGGAATTAAAGAGAAATTTCCTAACACTGAGAACAATTAATCAGTGGAATAGCTTGTCTTCAGAAGTTGTGGGTGCTCCATCATTGGAGGTTTTTATGAAGAGACTGGACAGCCATCTGTCTGAAATGGTTTCCTGTTTGAGCAAGGGGTTGGATTAGAAGACCTCCAAGTTCCCTTCCAGCTCTATTCTGATTAAACTACTGTGAAGAAACCTATTGAGACCCTAGCTCAGGGGTCTTCAAACTTGGCCCTTTTTTGACTCATGGACTTCAACTGCCAGAATTCCTCAGCCAGGCATGCTGGCTGAGGAATTCTGGGAGTTGAAGTCCATGAGTCATAAAAGGTCCGAGTTTGAAGACCCCTGCCCTAGCTTAATATCCTTTCCAGCAGAGGTGTGGGTGAGAGCAGCTAATCAAGAAAACCACCATAGAGCAAAAAGAGAATATAAGTGGAGGGGGAAATCCTCAGTAAGCACTTCTAAGATTTTGTGTTATGGTGTTACTATCAGAGGAAAAATAAAATACCATCAGTAGTTGATTGATTAGTTCATTGACCATCTATTAACTTCTGGCAATAAATTAACTTAGTGCTGAGCTTGCTGTACCTTTCAAAAATTAATTTGTTATATACTGCCGTGCTGAAAAGTTTGTGTACCCTTTTGACATTTCAATATTTCTGCATAAATGTGATCTAAAATATGATTGGTTCTCCACACAAGTCCTAAAACTAAATAAAAAAGAACCCAGTTAAACTATTGAGTCAAGAACATTCTACTTGTTCATTTATTTATTGAAGAAAATAATCTAAAGCTTCATATCTGTGGGTGGCAAAAAGCACCACATATGTAGTTGAATCAGAAATGTAGTTATTTGGGGGCAAACCTATTTATTCATTTTGTTTACTTACAAAATTTATACCCAGAATTCATATTATATTGTTTTCAAAAGTAGCAAACTTAGAATTCTAGTCGTATTCAAACAGTTAATTTGGTCATCATGAATACATAATAACTGCCTTAAATCTCCCACATCTTTCTTTTACCCTTTGGTTTCTGTACAAGAAGAAGTTATCTCTTAGCCATCTTCCTTGCTGATTTTACCATTTCATTTCATAGGTCAGGATCTCAAATGCTGGAATCCCACTTTAGGATCCTGAAATGGAAATGGGACATGCTCCATATTCTTAAAAGAAGCCATGGGCCCTTATTCCTCAACTGAGCCTTTGAGATTCACAGTTTTATGATTTTGCCTATTCTCTTTGATCCATGTTCCTCAGAACAGGGAGAAGGGAATGAATTAGGAAGCTTTCACAGCATAGAGTTGGAGAGGCTATCTATTCAAGTGAGCACGGGGTGATTGGGGCAGGCTCTGGGCCTCCCCCCCCCCAAAAAAAAATCCTGAATAAAGGCCTCTCTGTTTCCAAAGGCAGGATCTCTTTAAGAAGAGATTGGACAGCCACTTATCTGGAATGCTATATGGTAAGGGTGTCCAATCTTAGGAACTTTGGGATTTGTGGACTTCAACTTCCAGAATTCCCCAACCAGCATGGCTGGTTGGAGAATTATGGGAATTGAAGTCCACAGGTTTTGTAGTTCCAAGGATGGACACCCCTGATATAAGGTCTCCTGGGGTTGGACTTAGAAGATTTCCAAGATCCCTTCCTGAATGCTGCTAATTGATTCCCTCATCTCTGCAATAAAAAAAGTGGGGGAGCAGCAAAGTCTCACTCCTCTGCCACATTTAAGGGATTCCAGGCTCTGTGCTGTAGAGAAAAATTCTGACTTCCTAGGTCAGGGGTAGGCAACCTCGGCTCTTTTATGACTCATGGACTTCAACTCCCAGAATTCCTGAGTCAGCTATGCTGACTCAGGAATTCTGGGAGTTGAAGTCCATGAGTCATAAAAGAGCCGAGGTTGCCTACCCCTGTCCTAGGTTGTATGGGTGACTCTCATCAGTCTTCAGATCTTGGTACAAATTATGACCTATAGCCATTCCTTACCTACCCAGAATATAACATTGTTTCATCTATGGAAATGATGAATTAAAAAGAATCCTAGGAGGATTTATATGAGTTAATGTATGACAGAATCACCAGGATCATTTCCTGGGTAACCATTACTCAAAAAGTTGCATTTATGCAATAAACACAGATGTACTCCCATTGATCCAAGTGACACTGATAAAGGCTGTTGGCAAGAACTGTGCTCGTAAGACCTAGCCATCTGGAGCTAGCTGCAGCTATACTGTGCAGGTTTTCTGTATTTAACCTATCAGTTTTTTGAATCCACCCTCTCTCTCTGCCCCCCCCCCCCAGCTTCTCCACTAGTGTGTCAAATGAATTGCAATCAAACACCCATCAGGAGAATAAATGGTTGCATCTGATATGACTGGCTTCAGCAGTGCAGTTAGATGAGAAATTATATGTTGGCTTCAACATTTTTCACCCCTCCATTTAGCAAGTGCATTTAGCTTGAAAAGGGCTGGTTGCTTCATGTTAAAATTGGGGATTGGTGGAGTGGGGAAATCTTATATTGACTTTGCTTATCAGGAAAAAAATAATTAGAGACTTGAGTATGTTTATGCTAAGTCTTTCATTTCCCACAACATGTTGACATCTGACTTGCAATGTGTTTTTGTTCCTGCAGATACGATGCAACAAGTAGCCAAAACAGTGGCAAAGGTAGAGCTGTCAGACCATGTATGTGATGTCGTGTTTGCCCTTTTTGACTGTGATGGTGAGTATCCTCTATTTACCTGCAGTCTCGCTCTCATATAAGAGAAAAACAGAAAAACACGTTCGTAGGGACCTTGGAGATCTTCCAGTCCAATCCCCTGCTCAAGCAGGAGACCCTACCATTCCAGACATGGTTGTCCAATCTCTTCTTAAAAGCCTCCAGTGATGGAGCACCACAGCTTCTGAAGGCAAGCCATTCCACTGGTTAATTGTTCTCACTATTAGGAAATTTCTCCTTAGTTCTAGGTTGCTTCTCTTCTTGATTAGTTTTCATCCACTGTTTCTTGTCTTGCTTTGAAAAATAGGTTGATCCCCTCTTCTTTGTGGCAGCCCCTCAAATATTGGAACATTGTTATCATGTCACCCCAATCCTTCTTTTCACTAGACTAGACAAACTCAATTCTGCAACTGTTCTTTGTATGATTTAGCTTCCAGCCACCTAATTATCTTTGTTGCATTTCTCTTCAATATTGTATTAAGATCAGTGGGGAGCCGGGTTCAAAAGCCCTCTCAACTCCAAAGATCACAAGGTGACCTTGGAGCATTCACCTTCATTCAGCATTGCAGGATTGACAAGCCAAGGCTATGTGGATGGGGGCCCATCCTCATAGCCATGTTAGATGTTTTCTCCTATCCTTTCAACCATTGGCCCCTTAAGGTTAACTTTATCCTTCAGAACTATGCCAGTCATACATTCATGGTATAGTGTCAGGTAGTTTCATGGATAGCTTCTCTGCTATCCATTCTGCTCCATCCAGCAATTAATTCCTCTGGCAAGAAAAAACAACTACCAAGTATTCTCCCAGGATTAATGGGTACTCCCTGTCAGTTCATTCACTGTCCTCCTTGAGTTCCATCAGCCAATCAACTGGAATATTTTCTGATCAATTCAGGGTTTTTTTTTATCAACTCAGGTTCATTGTTCATTTGATCAACTTTTTTTTACTTTGGACAACTCTGGCTATTTATTTATTGCCACAAGAATGCTGATCTCTTAATCTCCTGGAAGTCTAAAAGGATGATATTCCTAAAGCAAGCATAGTCTGTAATTTGCAAAGCAGCTGCCAAGTTATATAGAGATTCGCTGCTGCTTCCTTTCCTTACTTTGGTGCTGAATTGCCTGACTAGGCTGCCTCTTGGCTGATTTCCAAACCTTACAGTGCTCAAAAATCAAATCCATTGGTGTTCGTTGAGTGTTTGTTTTACTGTTTTCCAAAAACTGTTGCCCTTAAATTAAGGGCTCAGTCAAATAAGGTTGGGTGAAACATTATATGTGAAGGCACACCAAACAGCCATTGCTTTCTAAATTCAAAAAAAGCCTAGAAGAGAAGCCTAATTAATGCAGAGGATCAGAGAAACAGATAGCTTTATTTTCCTTACCACTGGGAATATTGACTTTCAACCGGCATCTGGTCATACATGAGACTGATGTTTCCTTCTTCAAAGAAGGAAGAGGAGGAGGAGAAGGAGGAGGAAGAAGAAGAAAGAAGAAAGAAGACCCAAGATAGGTGGCTGGTGTTTGTTGCAGCCATAGATGAAACAACTATCCGACAACTGGACAACATAGATGGTCCAGCAGCAAGACCTGTCAGCCTGTTAGAACTCTGCTTATCACTAACCTCCAAAGGCTAGTGTATGTCTAGACCAGGGTTGGGCAACTATGGCCCCTTTATGACTTGTGGACTTCCTCACAGAGTTCCTGAGCCAGCCATGCTCAGGAATTTTGGGAGTTGAAGTCCATAGGTCATAAAGGAGCCATAGTTGCCCAGCCCTGGTCTAGAATGTGTCTAGAACATCCACTGGATGTTTGGGGCTGCACTACCAAGAAAAATGCTATTTTCATTCTAAAATCTGGTTCAGCTTGCCTCAGCATATAAATTTAATAATTTATTATGGTTGGTTGCATAGTCAGTTAAATGTTTAGACTAGATTAGGCATTTTTGTCTCCTTATTCAGAGAACATGGGATAAGTAGTTGTTGGTCTTTAACATCTATAACATTATTAGACTTTAGTCCAAATTCCGTACATTCTAGGACTGGGAATTTTCAGCCTCAAATCAGATGGGTCCTCGTGATTATTTGTGCAGTTCTGTTTTTCCCCCCTCTGCAAGCATTGTAGCTTCTACCATATAAGAACATTTTCATAGTTCTGGTTGCTCTTTTTCTGCACTTTTTCAGCTCTGTAATATCGAACTATTGTTTGTTATTTTCTCGTGTTGGTTATAAATCTTATCTGGATCATCATAAAAAGAAATGGTGACAGAAATATAATTGCAACACAGTAGTTTTACTAGTGTACTAAAAAACAAAGCTGCTTGTGGCAAACCAGCCAACTCAAGGTCTTTTCTTATTTTTAAGCTTACCACAGGTCAAATATATTTTAGCAAACTCTTCTTTTCTGCCATATCCCCATGGTTATTTTGATGTTTGTTTCCTCTCTGGTTAATCTTTGAGGCACCCTTTAGTTATCCTAATCTGTTCCAGAGTTAAAATAATGAGTTTCTTCTTAATCAGGTTCTTGACCTTTGCCAAACAATTCTAGTTGGATTACAATTCAGTAGAACTAAAGGCAAGAGCATTTTGGTTGTTTTTTAGTTTTGGCTAAAACAGAGTCCAAAGGAGACAGAGCAAGTAGGACAAGGCTGGGGCATTCCCCCCCCCACCACCTCTTCATAGTTAATTTGTTAGCCCACCTGTAAATCTTGCCAGCCTACCTTCCATGCTTGCAGGACCTCAACAGCAGTAATGGCTTAAGGAGGAATGAAAAAGGTGGCCATGGGATGAGTTGGGGAGCAGGCAGTCCAGTCTTCTTCTTGTTGTTGTTCATTGTGTTATTTCTATCATAACGTTGGGTCCTCAGTTTTGCATTTCGCCCACCACTTCGTCCAATCTGCAGCATTGACAGGGCATAAGCCTTTGGCTCACATGTCTTCCTGCTAGCAGTCCATCCATCACTTTTTTGGTTGTCCTTGGGACCATTGGCCATCTGGGCTTAAGTGCAAGTGCCTGCCTCGCAATGGATTCCACATTAGCTCCAACCACGTGTCTGTACCACCACAGCCTCACTTCCCTCTTTTTGTCTGGAATTGGGGTGACTTTGAAGGCTTTCCATATGTCTTTGTTTGTAATACGATTCAGCTGTGTGACACACACACCCCAGTGACCATCTGATCAGTCACATTTCATTCACACGTCACCGACAAACACAGAGAAGTAGCGACCGGTCGTAAGGTGGGGTCTCACGGTGACCCACCTGTTGGTACGGGTCAGTGAGAGATACCCCGTCTTACCTCGTCCGTCCGGTCCTCTAATACTATTAGTATTAGTGTCATGATAACAGATAGGTTGACCCAGTGGGTAAAAACTTAAAGGGTGGTAAAAGGAAACTCTATTTCTCTTAGGCACTGCTGCCAGTGTCCTTGGCCACAAGCCTATCATATCCATCCATTTCACTCCCCCGATTGCTCAGCATATTCTTTCTCCTACTTCCACTTAGCCATCACCATCCTTAGCTGTTCACCCTACTTCCAGCACTTCTGATCAGAGTAGATGTGTTTTGATACAGACATGGAGCACCTGGAACAAGTTCATGGTTTTACCAAGGGTGAAGCTCAGTTCAAAAGAGATTTTACTTTACCTTGCAATAAAAATTAGAGGGAAACAGAAAATTTTAGTAAAAGAGAAATAATCACTCATGATTACACTATAACATCCGGCCTATTAAGAGAAAACATATATTGCTGTTCTATTCTGCTTGTAAGCTTCCTAAGAGGTCCAAGCTACTTATGTTGTGTTGCAGCTTGTTAATATTCTGAATCCAAATGTATTTCTTAAATGTAAGTTAAGATAAAGGACAGACAAGAGGAAGGCTCAATATCTTAGTATAGGGAGCATTCATAAGGGGCCTGGTGGCCTAGTAGTTTAGACACTGGGCTGGTCAACCAGAAGGTTGGCAGTTCAAGACCCCACCTCCCATTCTTGCCCAGCTCTTGTCCATCTAGCAGTTCAAAAGCATGCAAATGCAAGTAGATAAATAGGTACCACTTTGGTGGGAAGGTAACGGCATTCCGTGCACCTGTGGCATAAAGCCAGGCTGGCCACATGACCATGGAAATTGTCTTCGGACAATTCCCTCGGATAGGAAATGGAGATGAGCAGCGCCCCTAGAGTCGGACATGACTGGAAAGGGGAAACTTACTTTTACCTAGGAAGCATCCATAGAAAAGCAGAAATGAAATCCTTGCAATCAAAATGGAAACATGTGACCAAGAATTAGCTTTCCTATATAAACAGCGCAAGTTCAGTATTATTACCAATTTGGGAAAAGTACAAAAGTAGGGCTAGTTTTAAACTAATCTCCCCCAAGCTGAAATCATTACCTTCATTCTAATGGGAGTTCAGTATATCTAGAAGGCAGCAAGTAGGTGAACATAAATTTAAGAGGTTGCTACAGAAGGTTATTTGAAAATCAGTCCTCAAGGGCTCCATGTTAGTTATCTCCCTTTACATTTTGCTGTAAAGAATACTTTGGAAAAGACAGGCTGCTGCTTAACTGAGGCCAAGTACATTGGGATTAAAGTTGTTAAATTGTTTATTTTTCTTCTGATAAGAAGGTTGGGGAAAGCAAACAAAAATTAGCCTGGGATTTCAAAATCTTGACTCTAAAGTAGGCCACTGGATGACAGAGTTGATTAATAATTTGTTTTGTTGGTAACGCTCCCTTCTGCCTTTCAATCTTTCTCATTAAATTACCTGTACATAACACCTAACCAAAAATAAAAAATAAACAATTCCCTGCCTTGGAGAACATTGGAATTATTTATTTATGATATATGCAAGCCTTTTCGAGACACGCAGTATGACTTGTGCCGCACACGAAATTTCTTACTTAAGCTACAGCTGCATACATCCAGCTCAAGAAGACAGTGGGACAAATTTCAGGAAAAATCCAAGGTTTCATTGCATGAGTTAGCTTTAATTCAAACTCCCAGTAATAGCTTC